CGATTTTAACCCTTAATTTTAATAAAATTACAAAATTACCTGCCCCTCTTATCAGATTTCCCTTGTTGTTTGGATCGATCGGTTTATTGATTCAATCGGTTAAACCAATCAAACCAAAAACCAAACTCAAAAATGGTTCAATAACCGATTCGGTTTTAAAAACCTTGCTTTACACTACCCCATGCTTCTCGCGTAGGATTATAATTAGAAAGAGTTTGGTTATCGAACCAATTTATTGGGTTGATGATTCATCACCAAATCTAAAAACTTGAATTCAAGTACTTGCTTGAAAAAAAGTTCTTTTTTAGTTTTTTCTCCCAATTTTTGATGTTAAAAAAAAAAGAAAAAAAAAAGGAGTTTAGTCATCAATTTCTCATGAAACTTCAAATGAATTGCAATTATATCTTACTCCTCCTTTGAAAGTAAGATTTTCGAAAATACATTAGTTTAGTTTTTTTAATAAAAGTTTAATAAAATAACATAGTTTTAAGACTTTTTTAAAATTTTTTAAAGATTTAATTGATGTCAAATGAAAAAATTTTACATTGAAAATATAATAAAAAATGATGTGGATTAAATATAAAAAGGTTTATTTCATTTATTATTAATTGGTTTTAAGTTAAATATAAGTTTTATATTAAAATCCACATGTACAATTTTTATATGTACAACTTCCACATGATATCAAACCCAGGCTTCATCCCTGGAAGCTCTATACATTCATAACAAACTTACATGTAAGAGAGTGTGCTCAGTTAGAAAAAATCTTACATAAAAAATATGACAAAAAATAAATATAAAGAAGGTTATTTCACTTATTGTCAATAGGTTTTCACTACTAAAATTCCAACCTTCAACAACATGCTCCCATGTTGCTGAAAGTGCTTGCATTGTTGCTGAAAATGCTTGCAATGCAGGTAAAAGCCTTTTAGCAACATAGTTTTCGTTGCTGAAAGCTTTGTTGGAAAACCTTTGGTGGTTAATGTATCAGCAACATACCCTTTGTTGCTAAAAGAACACTTTTAGCAACGTGATTTATGTTGGTAATATTCTTGCCGGATTCCGGTGACCAATGGTGGAGTTTATTCAACCATTTTCAGCAACAAAAGCCATGTTGCTGAAACTATATTTTTAGCAACGTGGCTCATGTTGTTGAAAGTTTAGGAGAAATGGTGGTTTTCAAAAGGTGGTTTTCCTTTCCTATTTTCAGCAACAAGAGTCACGTTGCTGAAAGTTCAGGAATAGTACATTCCTTAGTTTTCAACAATGTATGTCTTGTTGCTGATATTTATTTGTATACTTCCCTGATATTAATTAACTACTTAATAAATTTTAGTTTAATTAATGTAAATTAAATAATATCAATTAATTAATGTCTTATTATGTATTTTACTAAACTTGAATTTTATTTTATTAATTTATTTTATTAAGAATTACATACAAAACAAATAAAATAACAAAATTATTAATTACTAAAGATAGTTACTTATAAATATATTAACTTCCAAATACATTAATATCTACTTAATAATGTAATATTTACAAAAATATGATTTAAATATACTTAAAA